TTGAATTTTTTCGCCCACGTCATTCCGGTATTTAGCCGGATTGCCTTTTGAATAAGTCCAACGCGCTTTTTGACGCGCGAAAAAAGCGTCCGCTGCGAACCGGCCGACGCCGACGTATATGCGCGTTTAACGTGCTGCGTAACGTACGTGTATAACGTAACGCGCGCGCGCGCGGCGCACTTGATTGGCGGCATATAAATGCGACTACTGCGTACGAAAGCTAGCCAAAGCGTATGCAAATACCAGCGAGAGACCTGACATAATTTACAAACTGCATATCTCGGAACTGCAGAAAATTGATTTTGTTTCCAGCGTGTTAAAACGGTATTTTCGCGCGCGCGCTCCCTCTCTCTCTCTCTCTCTCTCTCTCTCTCTCTCTCCCCCTCCCTCCCTCTTTCTCTCGCAGTGTCCGGCCGGCGCTTTTGCGAAATATCGGTTTCGTCTCACGTTCGCCGCCTTTTAATACCTTCAATTATCTCGCCGTGACAACTAATAACTTCTTCATCCCGCAACCAGGTGCGATATCTAACGTCTAGCACGCGGCTCTTGCCGTCTCTCTCCGGCCGGCGACTTTCTCGGCGATATATCCTCCCGATATATCGTCGCGCGTCGAATCGCGCGGTCAAGCGTCGTGTCGCCGCTCGTTAGGATAACGCTACTGAAATCGGCGGCCGCCGATGTGTGACACCGGCGAGTCTGAACGACGTCTGTCGGCTGTAATGAGCGGCGGAAATCGAAGACGCTGACGCATGCGCGTTAGCATAAAAACGTAAACAGTCACTTACCTCGTTAACTTCCGTCATCGTGGACTTTTTCTCGCGATCGCTCGCAATCTTACACATGAGTTTCTCGTCGTTACGCACTCGCACACTTTCCCGAATCCTACTACACTTCGTCGCACCTTCGTCGCAATCTCGCTCTCGCTTAACTCGTGCTACGGTTACTACGTCGAAATACGCTCAAGATCTAAGATCACTGTCGACGTGACGGGGTCTGAGTAACAGAAAGATTAGGTTCACTTGACTCGTGGCTTCGATTTTAATTTGATGTGTATTGTCGGGTGACTAATTATCGACCGTGTCACCGGCCAGTCGGACCGTCGGGAGCGATTTTTAAATCGATTAACGGAACTGGACGTGTTCACTTCTCGATATTTCGTGCAACCTGAGAGTCCTTGACGCGCGAAGGTGTCACAAGGAAGGTGTCCAATTCCGTCGATCGACAGGAGCGCGCCCGTGGATATCGCGACGAATTATTAGAGATCGGTGCAACACCGATCCGTCGCGGGTCCATTGTTGATTACATCCGACCGATTTGGAGATACTCTTCGATTCCGTCCCTCTACGCGATCAGCGAGGAAAAACGCCGCACGCGGTGGCGCGCGTGTTTAGAGAAGGGAATGAAATGCACAGCTGTTTATACGGAAATACGAGGTGGTTTATTATAATAATATTTATAATCGTTATGCGTCGCGGCGGCGCGTCTCTTTCTCGGTCTGCCTTACTCGGTGTAAGTGTGTGTGTGTGTGTGTGTGTGTGTAAGCGTATATATGTGTTCTTGTGTCATATGTATGCGTTCCTGTGTGTGTGTGTGTGTGTGTATGCGCGTGCGTGTGGTGTATGTATGTTGTCACGATACACATATATTACTTCCGATGTCGTTTAAGAGTAAGTCTGGCCGTTTTCGCAAATCGGCTCGCGCGCATTCAGCAAAAAGAGAGGATAGAGTGTGTTAGTGTGTTTCTCTTGTGTATTTACATCGATCTCGCCGCCTTAACAGATACAAATTACACGTTCCTATTTATATTTATACTTTTAATGATAATATTAGTACAGCGTGTCTCAAAGTATGGACTCGTGTCCATTTGGGTACGTGTGGTATATGTGTGTGTGTGTGTGTGTGTGTGTGTGTGTGTACGTTTCTGTATCTGTACGTGTTTATGTGTGTACGTTTAACGACGCGTGTACGTGTATTTTTATCAGGTGTACAACAGCAGATATCTACAGGGTGTCTCCAAAGTAACGTCGAAAAATAATCAACAGGGAGGGCACAATATTACACGATAGGGACGATTCGAATTTTATACACAATAATAATAATAATAATAATAATAATAATAATAATTAATATATAATAATTAATAATAATATTAATAATAATAATGAAAATAGAGTAACATCGGCGTCGCGATGCCGATATAATAAAGATAATAACGTCGACCGCTCGACAACGATAACCGTGAATCAAGGGACGAGGACAAACGCGCTTCGCGTGCGTGGCATTCGTATCTTACAGAAAGGACGAGCGTCTTGTCGACGGGACTTCGCGCGACGTCCGCGACTCGACCGACGACCGAAGCGCGGGTCGACGTGGTCGCGAAACGAAAAAGACACAACAGAGAGAGAGAGAGAGAGAGAGAGAGAGAGAGAGAGAGAGAGAAAGAGAGAGATAGATAGATAGATAGATAGATAGATAGATAGATAGATAGATAGATAGATAGATAGATAGATAGATAGATAGATAGATAGATAGAGAGAGAGAGAGAGAGAGAGAGAGAGAGAGAGAGAGAGAGAGAGAGAGAGAGAGAGAGAGAGAGAGAGAGAGAGAATGAGACAGAGTGAGAGGGGGGGGGGAAAGGGAAACCAGGGGAAACAACAGGAAGGAAAGCAACGAAGCGCCGAGCCTTCCTCCGAGTCCGAGTCGCCCTCGGACTCGGAATCGCCGCCTTTCTCGCTCTCCGTTCTCGCGGCGGCGCTCTCGCGATTCCGTTGGTGCGCGCGGGCGGAATTATTATTATAAGGGACGTTAATTAATACTCGTACTACCAGGCCAGCCCTTCGCTCTGTATCTGGTGCGGCTCCAGGAACCCGCCGCCCGCGACCCCGCCGCCGCCGCCGCCGCCGCCGCCGCCGCCTGGCCCGCCGCCGTTCCCGCCGCCGCTCGGATTACCCTGCGCTCCACCTGGGAACAAGCGAACGCAAACGGCGTCGATGCCAATTAAGATTTAAATCCCGCAACAAGGCGCAACGCGACGCGCGATGCGACGTGACGCGACGCGACGCGACGCGAAGCAACGCAACGCAACGCAACGCAGCAACGAAGCAACGGCCGGAAGTACCGATCAAAGTGTGCGCGGCCGTCGGCGAGACAATCCGCCGCCGGCAGCTTATAAATATTAATACGAGGCCCGATAATTGCGTTACACTTCTCTCATCTTCTTATCTCTAGATTTCCGAAGTAAATTCGACAACCCGCCGGCGACGGTGTTGTATTTTAACCTTCCTTCTTTCGCATTTCGCGCGCACACTCGGTTCCGCGGATGCCTTGTACTATCGGCAGATAGATAATCACTAAAAGGATCCCCGCATTCTCGTTCGAAACGCTCACGTTTCTCGTGACTCTATCGATTCATTCAGAAAGCGGCAACATGTCCAGAGGAAACGATAAGCACAAAAGATAAACGTATAAAATGAATATAAATGACTAATTAATAATTGATGATGCACGTTACATGTGGCACGCCGCGTTACATTCTCTTTGCTGACGCATGCGAGACATCAAGCAGTCAGAAAGTCACCCTGTCTCCGGACGCGTTTGCGATTTTTGGATTACTCAACAGCCATGAGAAACGTGTATAGCCAGTCGAAAAGTTTTAATAGCTGTCGATCTATCGATAGCGAGACATTCGCGAGAGACTTGCTTGCGAGTTCGCGCCGCCTCCGTTGCGAAGACAGTGAATACAGACAGTCTCGGTCAGACTTGCCATCGCGTCTCATCCTCGATCGTAATTAACGTTAGCTTTCTCGACGTCGCACGTGTTTCTCCCATCTTTTCATTCGAAACTTTTCATTCAGAAGCCTTCCTTCGAAACGCCAATTCTTTTTTTCACGGAGTAAGCAATAATTGTATATCCCGCGTCGTAAAGTTGTCAAGCTCGAGCCGGCAGAGGCCGTACCAGGTGTTGAATATTCCACTTCACAGGTATACATATCGCGGTTATTAATATAACTGTCGTTAAGCGTACTTTGCGTAAACAAATTGACGACATACGTTCGAGCGTAGTGACATGCCAGCGACAGCTCGACAAGACACGCATGGCCGACGTAAGTCGAAGAAAATGTACTTTTAGGCTCGCGACGTATCGCGAAAGGTCACACACACACACACACACACACACACCATGATTGTCAGATCTCAATTATCCATGCGTCATACTTCCAAAGGAAATGACATTCACGCTGCCGTACTTTGTTGCAGGGAATCCTATTTGGCTGGACAGCGCGCGCGTATCTTTCGTGCACGAAATAACACCGCGACTGTGCGAATAATAGCCGGCGCGCGCGATGCCACGGTAAAAATGATGAGCTCGAGCGAGAAAGGTTAACAGCAACGGATAATTTTCGTATCAACGTGAAACGCTGAATGGCGTGGAACAGTTCCGATTCGATGGCGCGAGCCTAAAGCGTTTCCTACTAATTAACTGCGCGATAGCGCATGCTTGATCTCCGACTGAGAGAGAGAGAGAGAGACGCGTGTGATATAATAAACCGTCAATAGTAATCGCGCATAAATCGGCGATGTAAACCACCTCATCAAATCATCTCGGTGTTGCGCAGCCATTGACAGAAAAATGATAAAAGAAAGAAAAGATAAAACGCGCGATAAAACACGTTCACAACGAAACGCTACTCGGTCGGACAAACGACACGTTGCGAAAAAATGTTGTTTCGCTTCGCCGAAAGACATTCGCGGTCCGAAGGAACAAGTCGCGCGCGCGCGCACGCGCATGCGCGGAGAAGCGAGTACTCCCCCTTCGTCGGGGGAGTAAGTTGTGAATTTTTCTCTCTTCAAGCGGCCGCGAATGAACGTTCCCCGCCGCCGCATCGCGAAAATAACGCTAATAAATCGGCGCGGGCGCAAACATAAAGTCCGCTCGCACGAAGGTAGATCGGCGGTCGCGATTCGCTCGGTTTTTGGTGCCGGGGATATTTCCCTCTTACCTGAAGGTGCTAGGAACTCGCCGGGGCTGCCGCCGGTGGGCGCAGGGGGCCCCTGCCCGGGGGGCCCCGTGAGAAAATCCGGAGGGCCGCCCCCCGCGCCCGGAGGTGGGTACTCCCCTGCCACCGCCACTGCCGCTGCCATGCCCGCTAAACTGGCCGGGTCCAGGCCTGTCAGAAACAGATTACGTACTGCTCTCAGAGGGGATCGTATCCGCCCGGCCATCTCCGAAACCGGCTGTCATAATTATCACGGGGCCTACCTACTTGATTCGAGGTTTATTATAATTACGCGAGATTCCAGCCGGCCAGCCGCTAGACTCCTCTCGCCCGGCTGAGGATTTCGCTGTAGATCGCTCGTTTTTGCTCGCGCGATCGCCACACGAATCGGCCTCGCCTCGTCTCGTCTCGTCTCGCGCTCGCGGATTTTTGCGGCGCGCGTCGAGAGGCCGGAAAGTGAGCAAAACAGCGCGCGACTAATGAGAAAGAACGGGACACCGCGCGAAAAAATCGAGCCAACCGGCGCAAGACAAAAAGCAGCCTCGAGATCGCTCATGTTCGCCGACGCGCGCGCGCGCGCTACCGTCTTCTCCAACCTCCCTCTCTTTCTCTCTCACGCGCTCATTACGCGGCTCCGAATGAATCGGCCAAGTCGAGGAATCAATCAGTCGGGCAACTTTTGTACCGTCGTTAGTCCGCTGCTAAAGGGGATGTCTATCGCAGAGAGCCCGTAATAGGCGCACCACGACGATAACGGTCATCTCCTCTCCCTCCCTCAGGCGATTGGCTTTCAATCGGACTTACCTGGATTTCCCGTGCCAGCGAAGTGCGGCCCGTGCGGGTGCGGGGGCGGGTGCGCGCCGAAGAACTCGTGGTGGAAGGCCACCGGGCCTCCGTAGCCGAATTCGAACTTGTCCGTGCCGAAGTAGGGAAAGCCGGGCGGCGGGCCGTCCTCGCCGCCGAGCGCGCCCGGGTTCAAGTTCAACGGGAAGCCGCGCATCTTGCGCGAGCCTGCGAAGAAGGGGTTCCTGCCCATCGACGTCAACTGCTTCAGCCTGCGCTCCTTGCTCCTCTTGTTCTGGAACCAGACCTGGAAAGCAGGCGCGGTCGCAGACCGGGCGCGTTTAATCGGCTGAATTATTCAACGGCGTTCTCCCCATCTTCCCCCTGCCCTATTTTCAACCGCGTGGCGGCCATTATATTTATAGCGATGGTGTATTATAGCGATATTAACCATATCGATCGCTAGGTATCGCTGTTACTTCGAGCTTCGGCATCGCGATTAGGTTTATTATCCCCGCTTTATTGTTTTCTCCTTGTTTTGTGTTTTTCTTTTCTTTGCTTCCTTTGGGGTATCTCATTTTTATGACGCGTAATAAATTGTAATCTCTCTCGAGCGCGGAATGCATTATTTAACGTCTCTTTATCGACGTAAACACGAGCGCGAGCGGAACAAGGAGAAAAGAAAGAGGAAGAAACTTTTCCCACCTGTATGACTCTCATGGGCAAGCCGGTCTCCTTCGCCAACTGCTCCCTGATATGCCTGGTGGGCTTCGGAGTCGACGAGAAGGCTGACTTCAGGATCTCCAGTTGCTTTGCCTTTATAGTCGTTCGCGGGCCGCGTCGCTTCGAGCCGGCACCGCCGTCGCCGCTGCCACCGCCGGCGCCGCCGTCCGGGCTCTTGTTCTCCGTCTGGCTGTCCCTCGTCTCGGGATCGCCGTCCAGGGAACCTTCAACCGATCGAAGCCGAACTGCCGCATCACAATTGTACCACCACTACTACCGCCGCCGTCGCCGCCGCCGCCGCCGCCGCCGTCGCCAACCACCGCCATCACCATCAGCGGCCGCGCGGCCGCGCTATTTCATAAGACCGACTTGTCGGCCGACAAGTGCCGGCGAAATCAGTCATTCAGGCGAAAAGCGGCCGGGCCATGGCCTCTCTCACTAGAAAATTTCGCGGCCGCGTGAGAGTGATAAGTGAATGATGAAATGGCTTTCTCGGACGGGAGGCGAGGGTATAATTCGATATATCGTATAAATTGAAATCGAACATCTATACGATATTCGAATGCCGTGTCAAATACATGCGACGACAGAAATGATAGAATTTTACGTGTATGATGCAGATATGAGTCTACTATCGATTTTAAATATGACGGCATCGTGGGCGAGTCAAATTTTCGACGAGCTGGCAATACGCTTTTTCCGGAATAACTCGGATTCGGATCTCACACTTCGCGATGGCCCTTGAAGTGAAAAAACCGTCTGCGGGTCTCCTTTCCGGATTTTTGTGGGATCTCGAATGCGGAAAAGCGGAGCGAGAGAATGAGTCGAGCCGAACTGGCGCGAGATCAGGTTCTAATATTCGCAACACTTGTCGCAACAGTCGACGCTCATTAATCCTAGTCGCTTGCTCGCACGCAGTTTGCCGAAGCCAGCGCTCGAGACCAGCAGTCAACCAGCCTCGTGGAGAAGAAGAGGCTGACGATACATTTCTGTAGCATTACACCGCACGTTCTGTTACACAGCCGTCGATAGATAGCGAAGGGATAGTCGGTTTCTTAATCCCGAACTGTGCGTATCCGCTGACGCGTGACTCGTCGGTAACCCAGAAATAACTTGTCATCGTAAGACCCGAGTCATCATTTCGTTACGGGAGTTTCTAAGCAACGGCCGTCGGCCGGAGTTGCGATCTATCATTTCATAACATCGAAGTTACTTAAAAAAGCGCGTCATCGGTCGAGAAGATACTTTTCAGACACATATACGGAGTGTCTTCGGCGAACGAACACGGTAGAAATTGTGTGTTGAAAACTCGGAACAAACTGAACGAAGAACATCTCGAGATCAAAATAGATTTTAATATTAATTTCGACACACAATTTCGGCAAATAATATTATGAATATTTCGTGTAACATTAACCAGTATGTAATTTTGATGAGGCAACCGACGATGCGTTGCGCAGGACCTCCTCCCGTGGAGGATCTGCCGGTGGATATCCGACAGTGTCTTACGCTCGCTTCTCGCCAAATTCGAGGCGAGAAAGAAAGAGGAGCGTAAAAATCATGAGAGCTGAACAATCAATGGGAACTAATGGAAATTTAAGCGACTGCCAACAAACGACGACTCCGCGGTAAACTTTCGCCGAGGGATAATCGTGGGGCTAAGAGGCTGCGCGCGGTAGGTCTGGGACACCCCGTGTATCCCGGTATCTTCATCGGCCGGATCGAGGTAACAACAATCGAAGCCAATCCCCCGGAAGCGATGCGAAACCCCCATCGGATTATCGTGGCTGCTGCCGTGCGCGCTGAAAGCCGTACCCCGCACACGCACGCACGCACGCATACACATGCGTACACACAATACGCACGTACACATACAAGTCCCCGACTCTCCACGGTAATCTATACACGTATATATGTATAATACACCGGGTAGGTCTTAACCGCCGGGACAAAGAAAATGTTTGGACAGTGTCACACCGCACAAGGGGGAGGGGGGGGCATCCCTCGTGAAGACGCCCCCTTCGTCTCATTCACCCTCTCTAAGAGGGACGGGGGCCGACGGGGGGAGGCGAGACGCTTGTGGCGCACACGAGGGCCGTGTGAGGGTGAGGCACACCAAGGTGAAGTATGGTGAGTCGGGACCGATTGTCGAGCGCGCGATAAAAGAGCAGAAGCCGATATAATGGCTCGCGACGACGAATTCGTAGTCGAGCTCGTAGACGGCTCGGCTAGGGTGACACGCGGCGGCTGACGCGAGATCGATCGCGAACCCCCGCGGCCACCCCGTCGCGCGACGGGGGTTGTCCTCCCGATCGCGTCGCTAATCGATCGCTCTTGATCGAGTTTCGAGGACTGCGCGCGGCGGGCTTACTCGCGCATACACGCTGCTTACTGCGGCCGCGGATGTGTGTACGCGCGATCTACACGGGCGGAATGTCTAATCGTTCTAATCTAGATGATAGCTTAGATATTTCACGCACCGCGTGCACCGCGCTGTTTACGCCTGACTGCGCGATATTGATTTTCCTTTATATTCTTTCGCCACTTTTTCCGCCGAGCTTTATCTCCCGTCTCTCGCGCCGACTAATAAAGACGTTCTTATTCCGCCCCCCCCCCTCCCTCCGGAGCTAATTATCCCGTGGAACTGTCCGCGCGCGCGCTTTGGTCAAAAGCAACCGGAAAATATTTATCACGGGCACGCGCGAAGGAAACCTAGGAAATATCTTCAAAGCTACACCGAGAGCGCGAAGAGTGCCTGGTGATCGGTAATTATAATTGCATAGCGAAGTAATTATAGTCGAGGAAACTATTTCAGTGCTACTTAGCGCTCAACTGCTACGTACTATCGTACTATCACTTTTAAAATAATAAACAAATATGCTCTCAGCTTGGCTGAAAATTACTATAATTTAGTGAGTTTCTTGTCTCTCAGTGTAGTCATGGATAAGCAGCGCTTACCGAGCAAGCGAGGAATTCGCGCAAAGAGAGCATTAGGGAAATTTGTGCGCCAATAGATTTCACTCGTTATTCGATTATTATAATTACAGTTGTTAGAACATGCGACGCTGTCGCCAAGTATATGTCGCGCGAACTTGTTCGGCAGCCTCATCACATGATCGTTGTAACCTCGGCAAGTAAAACAGGACTTACCTTGATCCTCGGAGTCCTCCTGCTTGCAGGGATCGCTCCCGAGAGGTAGTTCGCCACCGTGGCCGACGGTCTGGTCGCCCGGACCACCCGGTCCTATGTTGTGGGGCCCTAGGTGAGTGCCGCGGACCGCCGGATCGTGATGATGATGGTGGGCACTACCGTCCTCGTCCTCGTCTTCCGATCCTGAGCCCATCAGCGAGTCGCCGCCTGCCGACAGGTTGGACGGTTCTGCTCGTGAACGATGCGAGAATCCGGCCATTTAATAACATTGACGAACGAACCGCAAGAACAACGGCGATCGCTTTTACGTACGGATCGGCATTGTTCACTCGTGCGCATGAGCAAATCGAGATATTCAATTATTTCTAACAAATTGTAATATAGTTTAGATATCTATACTTTGAAAAAATTTTTTCTAAAACAAAGGTACATATTGCAAAGATATATAACACAAATATTGAATAATGATGTTTCTTTAAAACTGAAATCTAAAAATCATCTTGCAGTTTTACTTGGAGAAGTAAAAGATTGTCATTTTCATGTCGGTTCACTCTCGTGCAGTCGTGAAATTATTCTCTTCTCCGGCTATTCGATTTTATATAAAATATGCAACGATTTACCATGAATTAAATACGTTACTTTTTCTATATACTTCATTCATATCAGCAGGTCGAAATTGGAAATGTTTAAATAACGTAAATAACGTTTCACTGTACTCTTAAGAGAAGTTTATTATAAAGTGTGCGAAGTCACGCTTGCCGACGGTAAGAAAACCTGCTCGCGAAATTTTTAATGAGTTATTGATTTTCGTTCCACGATATACGTTTCGATGTCAGGTATTTCGAGGTATTTTATCAATTACAAGACAAAAAACTACGAGTCAATGCCATTGCCATATACTTTTTACCAATTTGCAGTAAAATATTATTTACCAAAAACAATTCGCTAAACAATCACATGCCCTTTTTGTAAAATAATTTAATTGCTTTTTGTAACCATAAAATATGCCACAGTGAACGGCGAACGTTATTTTTAAAACCCGACTATCGCTTCCTATGTTTAATGACGGTGTTGTGCTCGGAATATTTTCAACGGGGCGCAATATATTTTACGGCGGGGACCGCCGAAAAAATGGCGATAGGTGTCTCCGGATATTAATCGTCTCTACGAACATAATTACCGTGCTCTCGGCTCGCGCCGAGAGAACGATGGCCGCGGATTCGACAACCGACAAATGGCCGAGCGGATGACAGAGATTAATGTTGAAAAAGTGTCGAGCATCAAGACGGTCGTGTCGTTTAATCATCGGCCCGAAATCATCCTGAAGGCTCGCGTCAACATCCTGCCCTCAGTTGCGCGTCAAAACTCGTTCTCCACGCAATGAAGATTTTCAGCGGCGCTCGAATCTCCATTCCGGGGCGTATTGTTTTCCAATTATCGACAAACGACAATGTGGCGGACGATAAAAATGATGAAAGAAACGAGAAAAAAAACTATGTCCGACGCATTTGGCAAACTGAAAATCAAGTTAATTTTAATTCCACAAATTGTGCTATCTCTCTGTCTCTCTCTCTCTCTCTTTCTCTCTCTCTAAATTATTCTTCAGATTCTTCACCGCCTTCTTCTCCCGTTTTCATTGTTTTATTTATTATTTCATCTCGCCTCTTATTCGCCGTTCTTTATTTCTCTTTGATCTTTAATCCTTTTCCGCGAAATGCAGTCGGCAGACCGCTGTCCGTCGAAAAACCATGAAATCCTTCCGCGAAGGCGCCTTCGCGATGACACTTGACGCGCGGCTTGACCGGATCCGCTCCTGGATCCGCAGGTATGCACGCACCAGGGCCTCGACGACGTCACTTCGTTGACGATGACGGCCACGGGGTCTCGCGCAAAGCCCATCGACACCGAGTCAGCGGCCCAATCGGCAATGGCCAAGACGTAAATCATTTCCCCGCGGCGCTTTCGTTGGTCTTTCGCGCGATACGGCAAACGAACGCGGCGGCGGCGGCGGCGGCGGCGGCGGCGGCGGCGGTGGCGGCGGTGGCTGTCCCACGACATTGTCTCACGTACTCTCGTACACGACGAAACAACGCGGCGGCGGCGGCGGCGGCGGCAGCGGCAGCGACGTCGGAGACCCCGCGCGTTCTCCTTGGCCGCCGAGATGAGAGAAAAAGGCGGCCGGAGAGAAGAGAGAAGAAACGGGTTGCCAGGGCGTTTTGCGGTTTCGGCGTCGGCAACGGAGCGACAAAAGGTTCGCCCCCTGCCTGACGACCTTTCGGTTTTCGTTTCACGGCTTATATACGAGTGAGGCCCTCGTGAAACCGAGCCGGCCCACGGTTCTTCTCTCTCTTTCTCTCTCTCCGCTCCTCTTTCTCTCTTTCTCCCCCTCCCCTCTCTCTCTCTCTCTCTCTCTCTCTCTCTCTCTCTCTGTCTCCCCTTTTCGGCCGGTGGTTCACGGTGGCATACGCGTCGCGCTATTTTCACAGCTTGCCGCTCTCTCTCGGGGTAGAAACCCCCGTGGAAACCCGCCCCCTTCCCTCTCTTTCCCTGCGCAGCCCATCGACTCTCTTTTTTTTCGAGTTGATCCTGACTCCGTGAAATCCGTGGCGTCGTGCGCGTTGAACTGTGACCCCCGACTCCACCGACCGAAAAAAATAAATCCCAAAATTCCGAGTCACTCCAGAATTCGATCTTCGTGGAGAAATTTTTTTTTTTCCGTGAAGCAAAATGCTCCGATTTAACGCTGGAACGTCATTTATATCTGTGCCCGTTTAATATCCAGACAAAGTGATTCGCGCCACGTAGATTCGAGAGGACCTAGGAATAATCAGTGTCGTGTCGCGGGTACCGAGATATCGCGGGTTCCTCGTGATTAAACAATAAACATATTTCTTGTTCGCGATGTTCGAGCGGCCGGCATTTTTTCTGCCGATACTCCTCGTCTTCTCACTGAGAATGCACGTGCTTCCAGAGCGTATTTCTCCTTGCTCTTGCTGCAACGAAACGGCATCGAAAAACATCATAGATATCGCGGCGGCTTTTAGCTTCTCTCCGATAACTCGGCAGAGTGTCGAAGCCGAGACGGGCTTCTCGACTTTGAGATCGGCGAACGGCGGCCGCGCCGGTAATTTATGGCGACCTCTCTTTCTCGCTTTAGCAGAGCGGCGGATAAAATTATTTATCGGCGGCAGGAACGGAAACGACGGAGGCGATCGTAAAACGCGCTCGAGATCGGCCAAGAGCGGGCGAGAAGAGGAGCTGTCGCGATAATACGCCCTCCTCGTCCTCTCTCTCTCTCTCTCTCTCTCTCTCTCTCTCTCTCTCTCTCTCTCTCTCTCTCTCTCTCTCGCGGACACCGGCGCATCGCGGTGACAAGCACGCGATCGATATAACGGAAGACGATTGTGCGTTGACTTTGTCCGCGCAGCGAGCCTCTGCTAAACGCGATTTCGCGCGAATTTTCGTGCGATCGATCGCCGCGTGCCGCTGACAGCCACGTGCCACGTCGAAATCGCGGTTCTCGCGGCACCAGCGCGACGTATTTAGGCCGAGCCGCTGAAACCCGAAACTTTGCCTTTTAATATATCTCGGACGACGCTCGAAAACGCCCGCTTTTACCTTGATTTTCACGTTAAACTGTCTCACCGACGAGAAGAGATCTCATTGATTCACCCGCGAGCGGAGGCTCGGGTCACGAAACAACAATAGATATAGTTGATTAATCAATTATGACTCTCGTTTTATCGTTCTCGCCCTTTATAGCAGTGCATGATTTCTGGTTAAAAGACTGCTAAAACGGAAGAACGGAGTTAAATTGAAGATATCTCTCTGTCGTTGATATATATTATTTTATTTGTTATACTGATATGACTGATTATTATACTGATATATTATTTATCACTGATATATTATTGAATCATCCTTTATTTATTTGTCACACACATACACACGTGAGAACCGAGTATTCTCGAAATATCGCGATCATCAGCGATGAGATGAAACTGCGCCGGCCTCGATATCGATCGGCAACAAACAACAATCGGCAGAAAACAAGCGCGGAGGTCACGCGTATTTGTCGGATGTCGCTCGAATTAAAATTCCACGGCGAATCCATCTGAGAACGGGACGTCCTCACGGTCTACACGGACAAATTATGAAGCCGTGCTCCTTCTCTCTTTGTGAACCACTTTTACTTTCCCGCATCTGTCTGACGTTTCAAAGAACAGCGCGACAAAGATATCAAACGAAGGAATACATTATGCACCGTTAATAGCTCCACCGTCACCGCTAGTTTGAGCTGTAAGCTAAACACCTCATTAAGCTAACAATATCGGAAATGGAAACTGAAGGCTAAGTAACACTCTAATCCTGCGTAACACTGACTCAAGTTCTCTATAGTCGACGGTTCTCTCTCTCTCTCTCTCTCTCTCTCTCTCTCTCTCTCTCTCTCTCTCTCTCTCTCTCTCTCTCTCTCTCTCTCTCTCTCTCTCTCTCTCTCTCTCTCTCTCTCTCTCTCTCTCTCTCTCTCTCTCTCTCTCTCTCTCTCTGGAGATATATCGGCGATAGCGATCGCGTCGCGGCGTGACTTTGTCACTAATCCTTTATCTTATAAATATTTCGCAGAGGTGACTATTGAAAAGAGGGTTGGCTTCGACGACTCACCGTGATGACCGTGCACGTGATGCGTGTCTGGCAGCGGCTTGCCCGACAGGTAGTCCTGCTTGCAGACGAACTTGTTGTCGTCCAGGACATAGAGCTCCTCGCCGGTGCTCATCTGCTTCCGACACACCAGGCAGGTGAAGCAATTCAGGTGGAAAACCTTGTCCCTCGCCTTCCTCACGAGATCCTGCGGGTTTATCCCTTGGAGGCAACCGCCGCACTTGGTGCCGTATCGCCTGGAAACGCAGAAAGGAAGGACATTATTCAGGTTTATCGGCGTGGTCGATGAAAGGGAGGATAATGAGCGCGTGAGTGTCTGAAATGCCAAAGTCCATCCAAATCATAGGGTGTCTCTGCGAGTCTCCTCTTCAAAGAGAAGTTCTGTTTTATGATGTTATTAAAATAAACGTATTTATTAAACGCACATATCTATGAAACGTATGTTTCATACGTGAGACATGTAAAACAAGTGTAATGGAGATAAGGAAAATGTTGAAAGCGTGGCAAAAGATAAAATCCGCTCTAATCGGGGACACCCATCTGCAAAATAATTAAATAGATAATTGTACGAGTCGCGACAGCTTCATAGGAATTAACGACTTCGTTGAATTGCAAATCAGACTGGTAGAGCATTGATAAAAATAGTACGGAAATTTACGTGATGATTAACCATACGTAATAAATTTACTATGAGATTGAAATGTCCGGTGTATCAGCTGGCAGCTCGTGTTACAACGGAATTACGCAACGTGAGTTTCCGCATATTTTGAGGGTTAGGTCTCGGCCCATAGATAAAGAGGGGACTCATTCAATCTTCCCGATTTTTTCGCCCCCGAGCCTCGTCCAGCAGTTCTAACAGAACTCCAATGAGATTGGCGGGGAACGTTGATATTAGATGTAAACGGCGCCGAGAGAGGTTAATCATTAAGTATATCTGATTCCGCGATTTTTCACACTTTTCTTTTCGCGACGACGTACTCCATCACGCGATGGTTGTAATTTCGTCGTGAAGCGTTTATGCGAACCCTTAATCATTAAACTGCAAGTATCGCCACACACCGTGTTATTATCACACGTACGACGCGGCTCGACAATTTTTTCCTTCCGCGAGGACTGCTATGGATCGTATTTCGTAGCTCGATAACAGACTCCTCGTAAAGATAAAAAATTGCCGAGGCGTCATCATTCTTAATCTGCGACTTCCTGCGCGAAATGCCAAAGCGAAATGCATCGCCGATCGCGCGTACATTTTATCCACGAAAACATACGGTACATGTATTGTCCATATTTAATATATTTTCGCGATCGACAAAACAGTCTTTGACTACCGGGGGTTAATTGTACGCGCCGTTATATTTATCGAATGTGAAAGTTACAAGTTTCGTTTGTAAGTCAGACGAACCGCAAATGTCGATGAAAGAAATACGACGCTTTTAAAGAGATGGCGGTTTAATGTCCCGATCCGACATAAAGAGTCGAAGCCCTACCGTGTCGTAAAAACGCACCGCGGCTTCGCCCGATTTTTTTCCTCGTCGACGAATCGTTAAGCGCCTCGCTCTTTTTTCAGACGCCTCGCTGACCCTTGTCGTTAAACGTTCTTCTAGTTGGCCGTTATTGCGCCATTGCGACATTGCGAACTTAAGTCGCGGGAGAATTACCGTAACCTCAAGCGGGCCTCAAAAGACGAAGAATTATTTCTCTAAAATTGCACCGTGATTTTAGGTAACAGCTGTCGCGCAATTACACGATGGTGGGCGAAACATCTGTGAAATGGCACAATTGTAAAAGGGCACAATTACGTCGTACAAAACACCGAACTTCTACAATCATGAGGATCGAATTGTAAGAATATAAAATACAATTGTAAATTGGTGAAATTAAATTAACGATCCCGTTTCGTAGTCGCGTATTGTTCGCGGGGAATGCCGCGACTTCTGCGGTCGGCGTGCGATAGGTCGCGAACCGAGACCGTCGTCGAGCCAATACATCTCTCACTGTGACCGTATCATTACAACGGCAGAAGCTACACTCTTCTAACTGGCAATCCGGATCCGGATCTAACTATAGCAATCACGCAATTAATTATAGCAATTAGCCGGGGCCCTTAGGGCTGACGTGCTCCGAAGCGGACGTCTCAATCGATCCCTACCGCGTCGTCGTTTCGCTAACAATAAACAAGTTAAACGCGGATGGCAGATCGCTCGAGAGAGATCACGGAATCAGTCGTCGCTTATTAGCCATTTAGGCAAGGCGATACTTATCGCCCGGCTTTTCGTAATATTTCGTAATAGGCATCGATCAAATCTGGATTGAAGTCGGGGAGACGTAATAGACGGGTGAAAGTAATACTTTTTTCAAAGATAACGCAGGAAGATGCTAAATCAAATCTCTACTTCATGTTATATACTCTGAGACTGTGTTTGACATTTCTCAATCTTCTTCAGTCTCCAAATTCTGTTCTTCTTTCTTTCATTTCATTTTATATATACAAAGCAAACGTGCCTCTCGTTATTATCTAAAATTTTAATTTCAACAATATCAGGAAATTCACAATACACCAGGAAACAAAGATGGAAATATCTGTAGAATAATCACGAATTGTAGTATTATCTCTACAAATATGTTTACTTGACATATCAATATATGTATTTATTGTAACATTTTCCTATCATTTCTGCAGCCGCTTATGGCCAGTATCTTTTAATTAGAATCTTTCAAAGCAGCGGTAAGAATGCTTGTTTTTATTGCTCGTGCGAAGTAAAAGTTGAATTTCATTGAATAACGTTATCGCGGAATCGGCCGTAAAAAGTGCGAGCCGCTCGCGAAGCACGTACGGAATAGGAGACACTTAGAAAGCCGAAGAACCGCGACCCGGACCCGCGTTGCTTCAAAGTTCATTGTTAGTCTAATTGTTTTCGATCGGTGTACTCGATCGCGGCGCGTTCGCGCGTGGGTGCGTCTACCGACGCGTACGATAAATCCCACGAAATTTCCCTCTATTGACTATCGGCTAGCGCCGACTATTGACTATCATCGAGCGATCCATTCGCCGTAAATGCGACTATTCGCCTCTTGCGCATCCGTTTCCCGCATGACCTGAGGAAATGAAAAAGTTTCATGTTCACGCGAAGTTACCTGTGGATCTCAATGCATTCGTGAAATGCGTTAATACTAAGACTCTATGGTCTTACAAATCTTCAATTGAATCTGTATGCGCCATTGAATTTTTTGAGTCCGCACCATTGTCCTAAAATTGCGTACCATGCGATTTCAAGTCAATATGAAGTTGTTATATGATAAGAAAATTGTGCGCGACGCAACGATCCCCCGTGAGCCCCCGTATAAACGATGACTAATTTGCTCCCAATGAAAATTAAATAATTTAATTAATAGAGAAAGAGAGAGGAAAAGAAAAGCGCGCTGGTGGAGAAAGACGCGAGACGCGAGTGACGAAGCAAAGCATTGAGTCAAACGAATTAATTATTAGAACGTCGCGCGAGTGGCGATTGTGGCAACCAAACGCGAACATCATCCGATCGTGGATACGTGTCTTCTTTTTTTTTTTTCTTCAACAGAAATATTCCGTCGTTCTTAATGAATTTCCCCGACGACGTTCGCTTCGACATTAATTATCGTCGCGCAGCCGTCGTGTCTCGTGCAACCCGTAATTCGACACTATCGCCATTTAACAGACGGATAGGTCGCCAACGTGGATAGATCTGAAACACGCGTGAAGCCATTGACGGATCGATAATTATTCATCGCGCGCGCGTCGCACCCAAGAGCTAACGCGCGACGCACAGCTTCTTTCCACTCGTCTACCCCGCTTTGCATACCGCGAGCGTTCCATCGAGGTTTCCCACCGCAGGCTTTGCCTCCGTCTGAAATATTTTATGTCTCGCGGTTGACGTGCATCTCGCAAAAGCGGAGAAAGGAAGAAAGAAAGAGAGAGAGAGAGAGAGAGAGAGAGAGAGAGAGAGAGAGAGAGAGAGAGAGAGAGAGAGAGAGAGAGAGAGAGAGAGAGGAAGAGTCGCACACGGAAAACGCGCCGTGTATCTCATAGAAACGGCTCTCTCTCTCTCTCTCTCTCTCTCTCTCTCTCACTCTCCTCTTTCTCTTCCCCTCTAGGTAGAAGCTGGTTGCTCGTTTGCAGCGCACGGGCGGTGAATATCAAAGGTTGCTTGCACGTGTCTGCAACATTGCATTGCGCGCATTGCGCCGCGACTTGCCCACGTCGGAGCTCCATCGTCCATCGCCGGTCGCTCTCCGCACGAGCTCTCTTCGACTCTCTCGCCGCGCTCGCGATACTGTATATACACACATATATATATATATATTTTCTCGTGGGCGAGATAGATCTCCTGTAAAAGTACTACGCCGTCGAATACGCTAACCGGACTTATCTTGCGCGGAAAAATGCCGGGAATAACGCCGGGCGCGAACAATGTCTCACGTCGATTAGCCCTTTAACCTCAGAACGCTAATACAACGCATTTCTGACACGCGTGCGCTTTGTTCGCGCATGATAAAATCTGCGCGAACGCTCGAAGGAACGATCTCAAATTTGCGATCGTGTGTTCGCTTCTCAAGTTGGATCTCTCGACGAGTTCTGCAGCTGTTGCAGGATTCGCATTAGTTGATACGAGTTTTAACCCGACGCATCTTCGCATATTTTCTCTTCTGTCATTTTCTCTTCGGATATAGCCCTCAGGAGCTTCGCGATTGTATGAAAGCTTAGGAAAACACGATGTTACAGCGTTCCATGCTTAAGCTTCTTGAAACTTAACGGCGCAAAATGTCGGGAAAGATACATACATGCGTGTGTCTCCTTGGAATCAATTTGATATTAGAATAAGAGCGCGAAATATCAAGCCGCGATTTAATTTCGATGGCTGCCTCCGTCTCAGTCGCAAACGTTGATCGCCGTTATCGGTGCGCGACGCAATTTTGCAACGCAAATATCTCGCGATCCACTGTCACCCTGCAGGAAACAACGGTGAGCAAAAACTCGTTGATTACCGTCGCTGTTGCACAATTCTTTTCGCCCCGAACGTTTCGCGACCCGCATCGCCGCTTGGATCGGTCGCCGAGATACCGAAGGCTCGACAAGGTATCGATCGTTAATAAATGTCACCGGGCCCAATTAGGGACGCTTGTGACGTTTCGGTGACTTTGAATATTTCGCTAGCGAGAAGCATCGATGAAAAAACGCCGCACTGAAAATTCGAGCGCTCGG